TTTTTTTTTTTTTTTTTGTCTTTTTTTCGGGCGTTTAGATATTTAGCTGAGCTGTTTTAGGGGAAGGTGTGAACCAAGGTGTGGCTCAGGCAGTTTTTTTAGCCTCAGTGGAGAGGATTTAAGAAGGGTGAGGTGACTTGGGCTCACTGTGATCCTTCTCTGTCCCCTGCTCTGGGTTAAATTGATTAATGCATCTCGCAGCATTTGGGACTCTGCTTTTTCTTCTCACGCGTTCAGCTTCAGAAAACCCAACTTAGTGTAAAAACCTCCCTCTCCTTCTGCAACTCCTGGACAAACTGTGCTGAAGATGACAAAAAGAGAAGGTTTTTTTCCATAAAGCTTATTCAAGGATCCTAAAGCATCAGAAGAATTTTGGGGTCAGAAGAATTTTCCTAGATAACGGAAGTAACCGCCTTAATATTGGAGGGGAGTATCCTCACTTTATGAATGTGAGATCTCAAATCCACCCAAGATATGAAAATCACATTCTTAAATGCACGTAGGGATTTCCTGTGTGCTGCTGGAAGAGTTGAAACTAAAAAACTAAACCCTCTTGGCTCTGGTTTGGGACGAGGAGGTGCCTCACGAGGAGTTTTAAGGTCCCAGGGTGTGTTGTTTCAGCTGAGCCCAAAAGGTCTGGTCCCCTTTTGTCGTGGATTCCCTGTCGAGCCGCGCCCTCTGCTTGTCCAGCTGCTGCACAGTGAGCAGTGAGCAGCAGCCTGGACCTCATTTTTTCCCTAAAATCTTGGAAAGTGGTGGTTCCTCTGACGCGTTTGACCCGGTTGCTCCTGGTCTGCTTGTCGTGCGTTCCTCGCGTAGCTCTGAACTAACAGGGAAAAAGCAAAGCCACTCCTGAGCTCTGGGTGCTGCCCGGGGGTGGTTTTGGCCGTGCTGACCTTGCCTGCCTGGCTGCAGCTCCCGGCTGTGGCCGAGTTCTCCACCAGTGAGACCATGGGGCACTCTGCCGACCGCCTGGCCGCCGCCTTCGGCGTGTCCCGCCTGGAGCAGGACGAGTACGCCCTGCGCTCCCACACGCTGGCCAAGAAGGCCCAGGACGAGGGGCTGCTGCTGGACGTGGTGCCCTTCAAAGTGCCAGGTAAGAGTGCACGTGTTCCACTGCCAGGGGGGCACACCCACGGAGGGCTGAGGTGGATTTATTTTACCCTCCGACTGTCCCCGGAAAACCGCGGGCAGAGTGGCGGGTTTGGGAACGGGAGTGTCTGGATATGGAAGCACAGGATCCCAGACTGGTTTGGGTGGGAAGGGACCTTAAAGCCCATCCAGTCCCACCCCCTGCCATGGGCAGGGACACCTCCCACCAGCCCAGGTTGCTCCGGCTTGGACACTCCCAGGGATCCAGGGGCAGCCACAGCTTCTCTGGCCAACCCATGCCAGGGTCTCCTCACCCTCCCAGGGAGGAATTTCTTCCCAACATCCCATCCAACCCTGCCCCCTGTCATATTTTTACATACCTAACTTTTGTCTTGCCCACCCCATACCTGAGCTGACGTGGTGACAGAGCAAGGAAAGGCAGGTTGGTTGGGCCAGGAATCCCCCTGCTCCTCCAGCCAGGCAAGAGAACCCACCTTCACACCCCAGAGTATTAATGTGTTAATATAAATATTAACAACAGGCAGAAAGCCTTAGAAAATCCTGGTCTGGTAGCTCAGGGGCTGGGTAGGAAGGGCTGGAATGTGGCAGGCTCCAGCTCACCAGGCCTCACATTCACTGCTGGGAGGTGAAACAGTTTGGGGAGAGTACTTAAACTGTCCTTTCCACGGCCTTTCCTGGTGTCTCCCTCATCCCCAGCCCATGTGGGCACACTGTGGTGCAGTACCTGTTCACTGGGGGCAGTTAATATCCTGGAAGATTTTCCATGTAGATCCACAGTTCCGTGTGCTCTTCATTGTAAAATTGGTCCTTTTTGTTAGCAGGTTTATTTAGCAGTTGGCATAGTTGAGTATGGATATGTTTGGTTCTTCCCAGAGCTCTTAATTCCTCAAAACTCAGCACGTAAACGTGAACTGATTTAGGCCCAGTTCTCCATTTAGGCTTTTTAACCTAAATTTAGGTTCTTTTATCAACTGTGGTAGTCCTACCTTGCAGTAAATAATTTCAGCACTTTGTTTTTGCTGTCTTCAGAGAAAAAGTGAGCTACCTTCAACTTTAAAGTGCTGGTTTTGGCCATGTTAAATATCCTGATACCACAAACGGATTTTCCCTTTTTTCCTCTTCCCGCCTGTCATAAAAAGCACGACTTTCTGATTATTTTTTTTTCCCCCTTGGGAATCCTGATGTTGAAATTCAGGTATATTTCATGATTCTGATAGTTTAAAGTGCTTTTTGCCCTCGACAGGCAAAGACACAGTCACCAAGGACAACGGGATCCGGCCCTCCTCCATGGAGCAGATGGGGAAGCTGAAGCCGGCGTTTGTCAAGCCCTATGGAACTGTGACAGCAGCCAATTCCTCCTTCCTGGTAATAATTCCTGTTCCCATCACTGCCAGCCAGAGGGCAACACTGTCCACCCCATCCTCCCATAGGCAGGTAGCTCAAGCTGGTAAAACCTGGGAATGAGCATTCCCCTTTTTATGTCCCTGCTTCCAGATTTGCCCAGCACGACTCAGCTTGGTTATAATCTGGTGAACCTGGGGACTGGATTGTTTCATTCTGAAATCAGTAACTAAACCCCTGAAGCCTGGGGTTCTCTCACCTGTTTGCTCTTCTGTAGCTGCCTCGTGAGGGTTTGTCCTTCTCAGGCACAGGCAGGAATTCTGTCCCGGGATGGGATTGATGATGTGATAATTCTAGAAGGCAGCAGCTTCAGTCTGAACTTCATGGGAGCCCAGAATGGTTTGGGTTGGGAGGGACATGAGAGATCATCCAGTGCCACCCCCTGCCACGGGCAGGGAGATCTCCCACCAGCCCAGGTTGCTCCAAGCCCCATCCAGCCTGGCCTGGGACACTTCCAGGGATCCAGGGGCAGCCACAGCTTCTCTGGCCAACCTGTGCCCACCCTCCCAGGGAAGGATTCCTTCCCAATCTCCCACCTCTCTCATGAATGGGAAGCCATTCCCTGTGTCCTGCTGGGCCCACTGTGTGCAGGGGGTGCTGCTCCCTCAGCCCTGACCCGGCTTCTCCCGCCTGTTCCAGACGGACGGTGCGTCGGCGATCCTGCTCATGTCCGAGGAGAAGGCCCTGGCCATGGGGTACAAACCCAAGGCCTACCTGAGGTGAGAGGGGCTGCTCCACGTGGCCTCTGCAGCCTGCCCTGGCTCCCTGCCCTGGCTCCCTGCCCTGGCTCCCTGCCCCTCTCCCTGTCCCTGACAGCCTTTCTCCCGCGCAGGGACTTCGTGTACGTGTCCCAGGATCCCAAGGACCAGCTGCTGCTGGGGTAGGTGGTGCTGGGGACCATGGGGAAGTGTCCCATCAGACACTCTGTCCCCTCAGGCCTTCCCACCCTGCTGGTGTGTGAGCTGGGGGCAGGAGGGGAGGAGGGGGAGCAGCTGGGGCAGGAACCCCCACCCAGGGTTGGAGGGGGCACCTCAGCACCCCGGGAGTGACAGGGGTTGTGTCCCAGTGGGAGTGGGATGGGCACAGCTGTGCCATGGACCCTGCAGAGGAGGGATGTCACTGTGGCTGTGACAGGGGCAGAGCTGTGCCATGGACCCTGCAGAGAGGGGATGTCACTATGGCTGTGCCAGGGGGGCAGAGCTGTGCCATGAACCCTGCAGAGGAGGGGATGTCACTGTGGCTGTGCCAGGGGGGCAGAGCTGTGCCATGGACCCTGCAGAGGAGGGATGTCACTGTGGCTGTG